AATTTTTTTTTCACAAATTTATAGAAAGAATTGATGTGCTTAAAAGTCTACTTTTATAAGTTTGTTAAAGATTGCCCTGGTAATTTTTTTACATTCTTGCTAAGTCCTCCAGATAGTATAAAATAAGTTTCAACTGAAGTTATAAGAATTATCATGAATTCTTATAAATAGCTAACATTTGTTGAGTATTTAGTATGTATTAGCCACTGTTCTGGGGGAAAGTTTTATTAAATAAGTGATTAAGAGTTGTTGGAAATACTACAGAGCTCCTGTAATTGAACAGGATTATGGGTATAGGTTTCTAATTTTATTAACAAGGATAGATTCTAGCCAATCATGGCTAAGAAAAAACAGCATGTGATAAACAAGCCAATAAAATTACAAGATGAATTTACTGAGGAGAAGGAGTAATTATTTGAATTATTATTTTTTTGTTTAATTAACATTTATTAAGTGTCTTCTGGGTAACAGGCCCTGTTAGGTACTTCTACATCTGCTGTTTTATTTAATTACGATGCGTTTTTCACTTCCAGATAAGATTTCCCATGGGCTTCCTTTGTCTAATGAGTTATCCTAGGCCCGTGCTTCACTGTCCTGTTTGCACCGTACAATCACCTGGGGATCTTTGGAAAACTATAGTGCTGGGGTTTCATCCTTAGAGAGTCTGTTTAATTGTGCAGGCTTGGGATCCAGCGGCAGTATTTTTAAAGGTTTTCCTCCCTCCGCTGTGGGCTCTGGTTGAGCCGGGGTGAGAACCACTATGCTAGGCTGTTTGAGATGTTATTTCACTGGCAGAAAAATATTGCCTTAAACTCTTCAGCAATAAGCAACTATTGCAAACTTTGGGAGTTTGCTGTGCCAGGTGGATATAAGTAAAACACCTGCTTTGCTTTGTCTGTTTCCTATTAACTGGGATATGGGAAGTGTCAGAATAATAATTAAATGAAGCAGGCTAGAAAATGTCACCCTCAGTGTCTCAGACCCAGAATTTCCAGGTGCACTTAATTTGTCACCTGGGTTTTGCTCGGGGGTGGTTTCAGAAGCATCATGCCAGTGACTTGCATACTAAGTTTTTTTTTTTTTTTTTTTTAAGAAAAAGTACTCTAAGGAACTTCTACACTAAAGGTAATTCCTTTAAACGAAATACATGTGTATGTACACAGTATAGATTTGTGAATAAAAACGTTAGGAGGACACAGGAATTATGAGGAATTCTTTTGATGGAGGGGTTATATAGGTCGAAATGGCCTCCTTAAAAATCGTGTTTGCTGTCACAGTAAAGCTAATGTCAAAACATTAAAAAAACAAGAGAGAACTAAGCGGTTTGGGGAGCTCAACTTTTCTTTAAAAATTCTTATAGCCTGAGATCACATAATAGAGATTTAACCTAAAAAATGATCCATAATCCAAGAACATATTCAATCCCTAAAAACTTTTTTAGTCACCTTCATAAATAGATTTGTTTCAGTGGGAACTTTTAGTCCTGCCTAGAAAATCCCAGGAGTTGTGAAAGTGTGGTGCAATTGGCGGTCAGGTAAAGGAAAGATTCCGTTAGACCTGCGAACATTAAGCATTTTCCCCTAAAATAAGCAACGTTTCTGGTAGGTGTGACTAGATAGCCTTCCATTTAAGAAAGTTGTCCAAAAAAAAAAAAAACAAACAAAAAAAACGAAAGGAAAAGAAAGAACGTTGTCCCCCTTTTAAAAACATTATATTGCATTTGCTAAGAGACCTTGGGCAAGTCATATCATTCTTTCGGACCTGAGGTTCTTCATTGGTAAATAAGGGGGGCTGTTGGTTTTCCGATGGGGCTTTGCTGAGCACCTGGAGTGGCTTAGAGAGCCCTGGCAGAGAAGTTTTGAGCTGGCACCTCTCTGGGTCTCTGGGTTTCCCGCTCTGGCCTCAGACAGAGCTGCTGTCTGGGGCAGCTCTGGATGGGTGCTCATTTGCAGAGAGAGGAAATCCTTTCGTTCTGCATGTGCTTTTGATGACCTACTGTAAGTCAGGAATAATACCAGGTGCTGGGGACACCAGGATATGACCAAAACAGAGTGGGAGCCCTCAGGTAGCTTGAAGTGTCCTGGAGCAGACAGACAGGGACACAGATAATTCCAGTGTTTCTTCAGCTAGGTCAGGGGCTGGGTGGGAGAAGGTTGGTCAAATAACTGTGTATGTGAGCCTTGGGTGTAGTTTTTTAGAAACAAATGACAAGTAGAGGACAGTTCCCTCCTTGAGTCACTGCCTAGTTACTCTCAAAGGGAAAAGAAAGAGGAAGGAGGAGGGCCCACTTGGGATGCTTGGGACTTCCCTCGTGCCCTGGAGTGGACTCAGGGACTTGGCTGTGCTGGTGAAAGGGCTGTTGGGAAAAGAGGACGATCTGGGCTCTCAGAAGACCACAGAATTAGCCCTTAGGACTGGGAGGGCCCCTGGGAGGTCATCTAGTCCAGGCAAGTTACTCTGGCAAGCCCACCTGCCTATATATCCAGGTCTACATATCCTATGTCTCTCTCCCTACCTCTTGTGCTTGACCTTGTAAACCAGCAATTTGGTCTGTGGGCCTTTGCAAGTGCTGCCAATTCTACTTGGATCCCCTCGGTTGGGCAAATTCGAACTTGTCTTTCAGTTCTCAGCTTAGATAACTCCTCCTTGGGGAAGTCTTTCTTATACCCGTCACTTTCCATCCCCTGCTGAATTAATTAAATACCCTTTCCTGTGATTGCCCAGCACCTGTACTCACCCCTGTTGTAATACTTTTTGTTACTCCATTGTAACTGCATGTCAGCCTGTAATTGCCCCACTAATCGATGAGAGCCCTTTGTGGCTGGGATGGTTTAATTCCTGGAATTATTCCCATGGCCACATGCTTGGTACATCGTAGGTGCTCAGTAGATAGTTCTTGAATGAATGAGTGTCCTCACTTGACAGCAGCGGCTGCAGGAGCTCAGAGAGGTTCAGTGACTTGACCAAAGTCACACAGCTCTGGGAGACCGAGACAGGACTAGAGCCCATGCTATGAGTCTAAAAAGCAGACAAGATCAGATCCAGTTTCTGGAGTCATGGTCCTGGTTCTCTCTGCCCATATAGAGGAAGTGAAACAAAGTCACCCCTGTTTTGAGATGGACACTTTCCTTCTAGGGGAGACATACTCTATCTCCTGGGTTTGTCTCTAAGTGATGCAAAGACCAGCTTACTCTTCATGTTTAAAAGAACTCTTCATGTTCTTAAAATAAAACCAAACAAAGAGTTTTGGGGGCTTCCCTGGTGGCGCAGTGGTTAAGAATCCGCCTGCCAATGCAGGGGACACGGGTTCCAGCCCTGGTCCGAGAAGATCCCACATGCCGTGGAGCAACTAAGCCCATGCGCCACAACTACTGAGCCTGTGAGCCACAAGTACTGAACCCACGTGCCACGCCCCCCCGCACATCTAGAGCCCATGCTTCGCAACAAGAGAAGCCACTGCAATGAGAAGCCCGCGCACCGCAATGAAGAGTAGCCCCCGCTCGCCGCAACCAGAGAAAAGCCCGTGTGCAGCAACAAAGACCCAATGCAGCCATAAAAATACAATAAAGTAAAAATAGTTCCTTAAAAAAAAAAAAAGTTTTGTGAGAGTGAGTTAGTATGCTTTTTTCCAATTTCTGGGACTTTCAGCCAGGACCCTAAAATTTTTCCCAAGTAAACAGCTTGTCCTGTTTTCTGTTTTGGAAATCTGGTCAAAGAATCAGAAAGAAAGAAAAAAAAGTCCTTTATGTAGCTGCAAGACATAGCGAGTGGAGTCAGAACTGTCATCATGTCTCTGGGCATCTGTGTGCGCGTGTGTGTTGTGTGGTATGTGCACGCGCATACACGCAGAGTATGGAGCGTGTGCACACATCTGAGGTCTTAGCTTGTGAGTATGTTTAAATGGTTCTTAAATGAAATCCCCTTTTTCTTTGGCCACTGGGCAGTTTTGTGATTTTTCTTTAAAAGAGAATTTTAAACCACACTCAGGCAACAGCGGAAAGAAAACCTGTACTGGTGAACAAGAGGATTGCTGGCAAAGTAGCAGGAGTGGTTGACATGATCGGCTGATAATGTTCTCCCACGACACTTAGGAAGGGCCCCCAAACCTTTTGTGAATAAAGTGAGGCTGGTTAAGTGGCTTCCGGTAGTCTCAGCCCCCGATGAAAAGCAAAGAGAAAACACCAAGGCAGCTGAAGATTTAATCCAAATTAAGGCCAGAAGAGGGCATTCTTCCAGGCAATAATAAGAGCGTCTAGACACTGCAGACCTTGCTCCTATCTTCACACTAAATGCTGGTGAATGGGTTCGAATGGGATATTGTTTAACTATGGTTTTATGGAGACTCCCTTTGATTCATAAGTATTTGTCACTGTAAGAGATTTTGAGGGTGACAAGGATGGTGTAATGTACATGTTTGTTTTCCTTTCTCTGCCCTGTAGAAATCTAAAGCAGGAAGCGATTCAGGGGTAGAATGACTAAGACCAGTTCAAACTCAAGTTGAGCTGAGTGTTTTGCTGAGACTAAGACTTGCTGAGGTACCCCAGAGTTCCAGCATTCTTTATCTTAGAATTCTGAGTCTGAAAGGACAGCCAGGCCCCACCTTCTATGTCCCTGGGACAATGCAGTCCAGCCAAACTGTGCCTTCATTAGAGGAGTTTGATTTGGGTTTGCTCTTTACTTGCTGTGCAACCTTCAGCAAGTTACTTAACATCTCTGAATCTCCATTTCCTTTTTTTTTTTTTGAATCTTCATTTCTTTATTTGTAGTACACAAGACTATTTTGAACATTAAATGAGAAAAACGTTTGTGAAACATGCTCTGTAAACTATAATGGTCGGGAGATGTGATTTGGATTGAAATGCTATTGGATAGAAATGCTATACTGGGTTGTTATTCCTGGTACAGGAAAAAACACAACAGTGGTTAGGACTTACTGGAGGCTTTTTTGTGTGCTGGAATCTTGTGACTTGCTTAATCTTTGCTATAACTCTGTTTTACAGGAGAAGAAACTGAGGCCTGGAGTTTGAGTAATTCGTTCAAGGTTACCAAGTTGGTAAGTAACAGAGCTGGATTTGACCACCCGGCTTCAGAACTAAGAGCTTCATTTGAATTACCTTAAGCTTCGCAACAGCCCTAGAAAGTTGAGGTTCAAAGAAGAGAAGTAACCTTGCCCAAGTTCATTCCACTGGTAACGGGTCGTCTTAGTCCGTTCAAGCTGCTGTAACAGAGTACCATAGACTGGGTGGCATATATACAACAGAAATTTAATTCTCACAGTTCTGGAGGCTGGGAAATCCAAGATCAAGGTGCTGGCACATTTGGTGTCTGGTGAGGCCCACTTCCTGGTTCTTTGTGTTATAACTTCACATGGTGAAAGGGGCAAGAGAGCTTTCTGAGGTCTCTTTTATAAGGGTGCTAATCCCATCCATGAGGGCTGCGTCCTCATGACCTAATTAATCACTTCCCAAAGGCCCCACCTCCAGATACCATCATATGGGGGGTTGGTTCCAACATATGAATATTGGCGGGGGGACACGGACACAAACAGTCCATTGCAGGGGTCGATTCAGTATTCCCGTGCAGCAGTCTGGCTCGAGAACTACTGCTCTTAACCACTGTAAACTTGCTGCTCTTGTAAAGCCCCTCACGGAAAACCAGTTCTGCGAGCCTGGGTGCCCTCTACCCCCGAAAGGGCACTTCCCTTTTCTGCCCTTTCCCTACGCTTCCTGGTACCCTCACTCCCCTCCATTTGACTGTCCAGTCTCTGGAGAGGTTTAGCCATAGAACGAAGACAGAACTGGCAGAATGTTATCCAGCAGTCTCTCCTGCATGCCTTTAACTTTTATTTTAGTTGAGGTATGACTTACGGACTGCATAATGCACATCTTTTTTAAAAAATTTAATTTTATATTGGAGTATAGTTGATTAACAATGATGTGTTGGGAAGAGATATGGGAACATATGTATATGTATAACTGATTCACTTTGTTATAAAGCAGAAACTAATACACCATTGTAAAGCAATTATACCCCAATAAAGATGTTAAAAAAAAAAAGAAAAAAGAAAAAGAACATTAAAACCTTCAAATGGGAAAAAAAAAAAATGATGTGTTAGTTACAGGTGTACAGCAGAATGATTCAGTCATACCCATAGAATGCACACATCTTAATCATATATCTTGATGAATTTTTAACATGTTACACTCATCGAGCTGCCACTCAGATCAGGATACATGGTATTCCCGTCACATAAGTTCCCTCATGCCCCTTTGCTGTTAGTACTGCCCCTGGAGATAGCCACTATTCTGACTTATAGAAGCCAGATCATGTCTGTCATAGCATAGGTTCCTGCTTCTATCCTATCCAGATCCATATATACTTGCTCCACAGAAACAAAATAGAGGGCTTCCCTGGTGACGCAGTAGTTAAGAATCTGCCTGCCAATGCGGGGACACAGGTTCAAGCCCTGGTCCTGGAAGATCCCACATGCTGCGGAGCAACTAAGCCCTTGCGGCACAGCTACTGAGTTTATGCTCTAGAGCCCGCGAACCACAACTACTGAGCCCGCGCGCCTAGAGCCCATGCTCTGCAACAAGAGAAGCCAAAGCAATGAGAAGCCCGCACACCGCAACGAAGAGTAGCCCCCACTCGCCGCAACTAGAGAAAGCCTGCGCATAGCAATGAAGATCCAACACAGCCAAAAATAAAATAAATAAAACAAACAAAAACAAAATAGAGGTAAAAAGCACACTTTAAATAGCGTGGGTGACCCTGTCTTTCCACCAAGCAGGCATGTCTCTTGGAGGGAGCTGAATTGGAGACACAGATCTGCTGTTCCTTCTGTTGGTCTTTGTTCCGATGGCTTTTTAGGGGGTGAGCATCTTGTGCTATCGGGGGTGTTTCTCATATTCATACATTTTAATTATCTTACAACGTGGCCCCAAATCCAAGCCGGCTATTTCTTCTTGTGCTCAACCTAAGAAACCCAATCCAGTGCTGAAGAAAAAACTGGCTGTGTTGCACTTAATGAGAGATGGTTTGTCCGTCTCCATGATGAGGCTTTATTATGGGATTTTCAAGGGGAATTCTGATGCCCTTCCACTTTCATATTACAAGTAGACCTTAGAGGCTAACCCTTGAATAAGAGGCAGTTGTAATGTGGACAGAACTCCAGCATGGGTAAGTGGGTGTATTAGACTTGGTGACCTGGAACACTTCTGTCAGCATGGTGAACTGACTTGTGTGACTCCTTCCTGATAGGAACACAGAGTTGACTGACATACAACAACTATATCTAGGGGAGCTCATCAGAAAGGGAAGTCCACAAGTGTCAAAAATTAAGAGAGAAGTCTAAGCCAAATGGTTATGTGAGCTGAAAGCATGACAGCTTATGGGGCTTCTGCACCCAGATGGACGGCTGTAGAGTCTGGGAGTTAAGGTTTTAAGACCACAGTGGGTCTAGAAATGAGACCTGGGTCCAAGGTGGACTTGAGTGCCCAGGAGCGTTAAACATTACACATCTTCGTGAAAAGGGGCTAGAAAAACTCCACTGTCTGGAGAAACAGAGAGGAAGCTTGTTTTGAGTGGAAAAAAGTCACCAGCAAGAAATGAAAAACCTGGGGCTGTACCATATGTGGTTGTGGAATCTATATTATTATTGTCATGAGATATGAGAACTCCTCAAGCTGAGAAATTAACGTAAAAACTGGCTGCCTACTGTGGGAATCCCTAACACAAACACACAATCACTCCACAAGGATACTTCAACAAGCCAGACCTAACAGGACTCCTACAGAAAGAAGCCTAGGATGAGTTCACAGTTAAATCATATGGACTACTCAGGGAATGAATGACTTTGAGTTGAAAGTAACAGAACCATCTAAAAGAGACTATAAGATAGTATATATATATAGTTTTTAAAGTATCATGTTTTCATTTTAACTATTATTTTTTAAAATTTATTTATTGTTGGCTACGTTTGGTCTTCGTTGCTGAGCGCAGCCTTTCTCTAGTTGTGGCGATGAGGCGCTACCCTTCGTTGTGGTGCACGGGCTTCTCATTTTGGTGGCTTCTCATTGCAGAGCATGGGCTCTAGGTGCACGGGCTTCAGTAGTTGTGGCATGCAGTCTCAGTAGTTGTGGCTCGCAGGCTCTAGAGTGCAGGCTCAGTAGTTGCGGCACACGGGCTTAGTTGCTCTGTGGCATGTGGGATCTTCCCAGACCAGGGATCAAACCTGTGTCCCCTGCATTGGCAGGCAGATTCTTAACCACTGTGCCACCAGGGAAGTCCCAAGCCAGTATATTTTCCAATGATTAAAGACTAAAGGTGATTCAAAAATGTAATGAAAGACGGAAAAAGAATAGGTTGATTTGAAAAGCTGCCACATGGAAATGAAAAGTAGTCATTGAAATTAAAATCTAACAAAAGGGTTAGCTGACAGACTAGACATAGTGAAAGAGATAATTAGTGAACTGGAAGACAATAATAAAGTTTACATTTGTTAAGTCCTTAATATGTGCCAGACACTGTTCTGTGTCCTTGCATTAACTCATTTAATCTTCAGAACAAAATTATAAGGAAGGCATTATCATTATCATCTGTATTTTATAGATGAAGAAACTAAAGTGTAGTAGTTCAAGCCACTTGCCCAAAGTCACAGAGCTGGTAATGATGGAGCTGGGATTTGACCCCCGGTTGCCTAGTGTAGCCTAGAGTCTGTGTTTGCAATTACTACACTGTAGAAAATCATCAAGAATAAGCACTAAGTGATAAAGAGATGGGAATATGGTAGAGAGGCATGGAGGAGAGAAGCAGAGGGTACTACTTAGGTCTCAGCACAGGGACTAGGGGAGAGGCATCATTAGAAGACAGAATAATTAGCTGTCCCTTCAGATCTCCTCCAGTCCTTAGGTTCCAAGAACTTGTGCCCCTATTGAGGGCAGAAATATTCAAACAAGGGTAGCAGAGCCTCAGTTTCCACTATAGAATGAATTGATGGGCTGATGTTTGACAAAGGTCTCTCTAGGGGAAAGAAAAGAAGCCCTGACTGTAGCATTTACCGATGTCTATGGTATAAATACTTCCACCACGACCAAGTTCAAGCTACCGACATAATGTCAGTGAACATGGCCTTGGGAAGAGATGTGCGTACTTGGCTCTTTTGAGCCAGTCTGAGCCAGCTCAGCAAACCAGGAGGTCTGACGTTCATTCTCTTTTAAGCTCTGATCTCTGGGTTGTGCATCCAAGGGGCAGAATTTTCAGGAAGTAGTAGTATCGTGTGTAATATCACAGGGGCAGGAAGAGACAGTGGGACAAGAGTGGAGCTCTGCCCCCACTTTCTTCCCTTGAATTTAAGAAACAAGAAAACATTTTGTGAATGTGTGTGGAGAGACTGGCATCCTTATGACACTGTTGGTGAGAATGAAAGTGAGTCCAAGCTCTTTGAAGGCCATTCAGCACCATCTGCCAACATTTTAAGTGCAAGTACTCTTTGACCCCACAATTCCACTTCAAGGCTTTTATCTTATAAATCTCATCTTTCCTGTAGTTACACATACGTGTGAAGATGTGTGTAATGTATGTTCATTGCAGCATTGTTTGAAATAGCAAGACCCTGGAAGCAACTGAAATAAATGTATGTCAGGAGAGGATTGATTGAAGGGATTATGGTATATCCTTACAGGAGAATACTGGGCCACTGTTTAAAATAGTAGGTCGTATATACCAAGAAGGAATCATCTCCAGGATGCATTCTTTTTTTTAATATATGTAAATTTATTTATTTTAATTTTGGCTGCATTAGGTCTTCGTTGCTGCGCGTGGACTTTCTCTAGTTGTAGCGAGCAGGGGCTACTCTTCCTTGTGGTGCGTGGGCTTCTCATTGTGGTGGCTTCTCTTGTTGTGGAGCATAGCTCTAGGTGCTCAGGCTCAGTAGTTGTGGCGTACGGGCTTAGTTGCTCCGCGGCATGTGGGATCTTCCCGGACCAGGGATTAAACCCGTGTCCCCTGCACTGGCAGACGGATTCTTAACCACAGCACCACCAGGGAAGTCCC